ACTCACACACTCACACTCACACACTCACACACACACACTCACACACACACACACACACTCACACACTCACACACACACACACTCACACACTGACACACACACACACACACACAGTTCAGATGAAAAAATCTGATACACATACAGTTTGCCAGGATTCAGTTTCAGTGAGAGAAAAAATCATTTTTTTGCTCTTGTTCATCTGTATAAACCAAAACATGATATCCCTATGTTATCTTTGTCATTGTTTTCCTTTGATCTCGCGAAATCAAGCCTGTTTTTCCTTAATAGCGTGCCCCAGTCATTTTTCAGTTTCAGCTCCTGACCAGTTGGGGTGACCCCTATTACATCGGCCTCACCGGCCTCGAGCTGTACGATGAGCGGGGAGAGAAGATCCCTCTGTCGGAAAACAGTATCCTTTCTGGGAAGGCAGGGCTCCGCCCAACTGCAGGGAGTGTGGAGGGCGTGGAGGGCGGAAGGAGCAGGAGCCTTGACTGTGGAGGGAAATGTCGCTGCAGGAACCGGACCTGGGAATAAATGTGCCTGTGGGCTCGGCCTACAGTCAGGTGCTGACCCGTGGGGGTGGGCAGAGCAGCGAGCAGCTCCAGCCATGCCTGACCAGGCCCCCAGCAGGAGTTCCACAGCACAGGGTCGGTGGCGGGAATGGGGCGGGGCCCCCAGCTGCAGGCCCCTCAGTTCTAAAGGCGCTGACAAGGCCTGTTGGGAGCTCAACTCAGTGTGTCCTGAATGTATTGACCCTGGAACCCTGTGATCATGGAATGCCACACAAGGATTTACCCAATGAGTTTTTCACTGTTTTACATTAGTATTTTTAAAAAATTAGTTTTCATATGAAAATCCCGATCTTTAGCTATCCTTGAGAAATTGGCAGTGCCAGGCCACAGGACATGAATATCTGCTACCGTTCCCCAGGCACGTCCTTCTGGTTGATCTCAGCCCTCGGTCCTTATTTGTTATCTACCAGGCCCCCAAACCCAATGTTAGCATTTACTGAGGGCTCCTCTGTGCCAGGCACTGTGCCAGGGCTTGCCGCTTGGTACCTCATTTGCCCTCACAACAATCTTGTGAAGTGAGTGTTGTTCCCATTTTACAGATGAGGAACTGAGACACAGAGAGGTGGGGTAACTTGCCCAGGGTCACACAGCCAGTGCGTGGTGGAGCTGGGAGTCTGATTCCAGAGACCATGCACTTGATACTGAGTTGCCATGTCTCTCTGATGGAACCCGCCTGACCCCTCTGGGCTTTTGACCCGTGATCCCAACACCCCCCCAGTTAGGGGCCTGCCAGGGCAGGTCAAACCCCAGAGCCTGCCTTGCATCTCTGGGGCCCCTGGGTTCCAGTGGCATCCTTTTCTCCTTCCCTGGTGTCACCATCCTCCTCACCTGAGATAAGTGATTCTTGCTGGTTTTGATCATTAGGTTCCATGGTTTTACTGGGAGAGCTCACATCCCGTGTCTCTGAGATCCTCGCATCAGTTCTGGGACTTGGAGAAGGTTATACCCATTTTATAGATGAGGAACCAGCCCAGAGACGTCGTGACTTGCCCAAGGCCTTGGGTCAGAAGGGCAGAGCCAGAGCTGGAATCAGGTTCTCCGGCCCCAAGTTGATGCCCGTCAGGGAGCGGCTGCCGCCGAGCCAGGCCCCCTCCAGTCCTTCCAGCCTTGCATGGTCCGCACAGGCACAGCCGTGGCCCGTCGCCCTGCAAGACAAACCCTTTGCAGAGTTTGCCCTCCACTCTCCAGAGTGGCAGCCACGTAGCTTGTTCCTTCCTCTAGCAGTTGGTGAAACTGGGCATCCCATCCTCATTCCGCCCCGCTCCCCTCAGCCTCAGGCTCGCATCTCCCCAGAACCTGTCCTGCTCTGCCTGCCAGGCCAGTCCCCAAGCCCACAGTGTGATGGAGGCTGGCGGCCGTGCGGGTGGTGCAGGTCCAAGTACATTTCTTCACGTTATGGCAGCTTAGAGGCCTCCTCAGACATCGCTGCCTTCCCCGACAGCGTGAACTCCCTGGAGGGCGTGTGTGGGGACGTGCGGACCCCTGACAAGCTCATCGACCAAGTGAATGACACCAGTGACGGCCGGCACATGTGGCTGGCCCCCATCCTGCCTGGCCTGGTAGGTTCTGGAGGCTCTCAGCCCTGGGTGGATGGAGGCTTCCTGTCCCTGGGCTCAGGGACACGTCTTCCTTCCAGGCCACATTCATCCCCAGCCTCCTGACCTTTTTGCTCCAATGCCTGACGGAGAGACTGGGGTGGGCTTTGCCCACGGGGGCCTGGATGGTGGTGGGAGGGAGGGAGGAGAGCAGCCAGGAGATGGGACAGGTGGGTTTAGCACCCGCCAGCCTCAGCCGCAGGGCCCGATGCCGGGGCAGTGATGTGTAGCAGCGTCTGCGTGTCCCTGTGACTCCTGACACGTCCCCCTTTCCACTCCCTGGAGTTGGGCAGGAAGATAAGGGGGTACATTTTTCTCTCAGTTCTGGGAGGGAGGTTTTCCAAAGGTCCTTCCCCCAAGGGTCCATCGGCTTCCCTTGAGTGGAGGCCAGCGCCCTAGCCCCAGCCCCACATTGCAAAGGGGAGTGCAGAGATCATCACCCTTAAACCCGGCCACAAGATCGTGGCCCCACGCAGCCCAGCCTGCTGCCAGTTTGAGCGTGACCAGTGCACGCGCCCGCGTCTTTCACCTCCACTCTGAGGATGGCCACAGGCTGAGCACAGGGCCAAACCAGCCTGCAGCCTGTGGCCTGCTGGGTGCGCGTTGCTTCATTCTCTCTTCCAAGGAGCCCCTGGTATTTGAGAGTCTGTTGGGAAGGGAGGAGGGGAGGCGATTGGGCGCCACTTTACTAGCTGATTCTGCCGCTGATCTGAGCCGCCCCCTCCCCACTCGCCACAGAGACTCAAAGACGCTGGTACTGAAAACCACCCAGCAGTGCCTCAGGGCCTGTCCGCTGCGCTTTTCATTCACTATCGGGGAAGGACGAACAGTCGGGGCCGTGCTGATTGCCGGGCAGTGCTCCTCACTCGGGTCGAGGCCTGTGCCTTGGCCTCGTTGCCCCAGACTGTTTCTGGCCTGACCTGCGGGCAAGGGAAGGGTGCCCAGTTCTCTGCGGTATTTAACTGGGGGCCACGCCAGCCCAGGAAAGCAGGCCTCCACGAGCCAGCTCAGCGTTTTGTTGCAAACGCAGCCACACGTGACCTGACTCTCGATGGGCTTCGAGGAGATGAAAGGCCGTGGGAACCCGTGCGCCGTGGCCGAGCAGCCCAGGCGCCCCCACCCAGCCCAGAGCCTCTGCTTGCAAACAAGCCTGTTAATGGCTCTCCTCCCTGACAGGTGAACCGGGTCTATGTGATTTTCGATCTGCCTACCACCGTGTCGATGATCAAACTGTGGAATTACGCGAAGACTCCCCATCGAGGGGTGAAGGAGTTTGGCGTGAGTGCTTACTGGCGGGGTTTTGAGAGAATTGTGCTCGCTGGTGATTAGGCCGCCGGCAGCTATCGTGGGATGCGGTTCAGTTGGCTCCTCTCTGGTGCAGCCTTAGACACCATGCCAGGTCCTCCGTGCAGGGAGGCTTCCCAGCCAACCGTGACCGAAACCCCCTCCCAGGGGCTGGAATCCTCACCCTGAACACAGGGAATGGCTTTTCTCTCCTCTCCTCTTCCCCAGTCGAACTGACCTAGGGAGCTCTCGGTGCCGGGGGCCTGGGTTGGGGAAAGTGGGCCTGGGGCTGCCCAGCGCGGCCTCGTGCTAAGGCGCTCAGCCCCTGAGCCTCAGCTCCTCGGCAGCAGGCGGCTGGCGGCTGTGCCTTCCCCACGGCACAGCAGGCAGGTCTGTGCAGACACGCACTTCGCCCAGTCACACGTGGGAGGGGCCCTGCCAGCCGTGCCGCCAGCCCCTCCTCTGTTCTGTTCAGCTCCTGGTGGACGACTTGCTTGTGTACAACGGGATCCTGGCCATGGTGGGCCACCTGGTGGGGGGCATCCTGCCCACGTGCGAGCCCACGGTGCCCTACCACACCATCCTCTTCACCCAGGACATGGACATCCACCACCAGGAGAAACACACCGCCATCAGGTGGGCGAGCCGCCCGCAGCCCCGCCAGCCCTGCCGAGAACAGGGCAGGACGGCTGGCCTGACCGTCTCCGTCTTCCCTCTGCAGCGGCCACGTGGAGGACCAGGACGTCCAGATGATGAACGAGAACCAGATCGTAACCAACGCCAAGAAGAAGCAGAGCATCGTCGACCCAGGTCCGCTCGGTCCTCTGCCTGAGCCCCTCGGGAGTCTGGGCTGAATAGAGACGAGTTGCTGGCCTCACACCCTCTGGCGCCTGCCGGCCCTCAGACCCCCTTCCCCACCCAGCAGCCTGGCTGGGGGCTGGAGGGGCTGAGGAGGTGGGGCTGAGCCCCATGCGCCTTCCTCCTGCAGGCCCCTCGTGGCTGGCACTGCTTCCCGGACCCAGGCCTCGCGTGCAGAGGGCAAGGCCGTGAAGGGCAGAAGCGCATTCTCGAAGGGGTCTCCCTGGGCCATGGCGAGCCCATGGGGATACACGGGGCAAAGGCTTCTCAGAGGAGGTGGTGTTTGAGCCGCACCCTGAAAGATGCAGGGCTGGCCAGGAAGAGGGAACAGCAGGGCGGAGGCTGGAGGGGTGGCCAGCCTGTCCAGTGGGGGTCAGTGTGCAGGAGTGCCGGCTTGAGGCTGCTGGGAGCTCAGGAGGGCCCACGTCTCCACGGGCCCTGGGTGGAAACGCAGGCAGTTCAGATTTCAGCCTGAGCGCGTGGGGCAGCCCTCGGGGGGAGCTGGGTACCCTGACCCCCCGGTGCTCTCCCTCCACAGCCTTACGCCCCAAAACCTGCCTGAGCGAGGAGACAGCAAGACGGCGGCGGTGCTGACCGGAAGGAGGGAGCGCTGGTCCTCAGCACGCGTGGGCTCCCTCACTGGCCCTGCTCAGCACCATGTCCCCCTTGGTCCTCAGTGCAGCCCAGACCCCAGCGCTGGAAGAGAGCTGCGGCGCGGAGGGAGCCGCTGAGGAGAAGGGACTCGAGGGGAGAGGGCCTGGAAAAGACGGGCGACACGCGGAGGAGGCAGGGCTGCTGCAGGGCCAGGGCCTTCCGCTCTCCCATAAGATCCAGCAAAACAGGCAGCATCCACTCAGCCCCGTCCTGGTTCCCTGAGCCAGGTCTGGCTGGGCCGGGACAGGGAGGTGGGCTGGCGAGGCCTCCATCCAGCCTGGAGCCAGGCTGAGCACAGCACAGGGCCCAGGCCTCAGATACCAGCGCTCCAGAGGTGTGCCCGGGGGCTTCACCAGCAGCCCCTCCCCAGGCACATCCCTGCCTCATCTGGGGGCTGGCAGAGCTGCCTGGGAGGGTGGACTCTTCCCTGGACCCTCATGTTCAGCCAGGACTGCTGCCACCCTCACTCATCCTGCCAGGGCCCGCGGGAGAGGACAGATCCCTCAGAGGACCTGCTTCTGCAGGCTGCCCCCTGGGCGAGCTGGAAGGGGCTGGCCAAAGGCACATGTCGCTGAGGAAAGGAAGGGAGTGGGCCCACTGTGCCGAGCCGGGCCCACATGGCATGCCCGGCCCTCGTCCTGCCCAGATAGGACCGGCAGGTGGGCAGCTGCAGACCCAGCGGGCAGCGGGGGCCCATCCAGAAGCCTCTGGCTGGAAGGCAGGGAGTGGAGGACCAGGGCCGGCCCCACCCGCAGCCCCAGAGGCTCACCTTCCCCGTGAGCTCCAGAGAGGCCTCACTGCTCCCTACCCGGCTGGAGTCTGCAGGCTTCTCTCGCTGGTTCTTTGGTCCGTGGCCCGCCCCAGAGCCAGGAGTGGGGGTCTCGCTGCCCAGGCCCCCACGCTCCTCCCTCTTCCAGCGGCTTCCCAGCAAGTTGGAGACGTGCCTTGCACCCCGCCGAGCGGAGCCCGGAGCACATCTATTTCCATCTATGTAACGAGCTCGGATCAGGGACCTAATTGCTTTCCCAGTGGTGGGTAATTTCTCGTTCCCAATATTAATCCGTTGTTTTCCTGGCGCCAGGCCCGGCCCGCGTTACTGTACTGCGAGTGCGTTCCTATGCAACCGAGAGCCTGCAGATACTTTCCGAGCTTCGAGGCCTCCTTGGGCAGCTGTGCAAATGCGCTTTTCATTCGGAGCGCGGGGTCCATGTGAAGATAAGGACTTGTTTCTCCCCAAGAGAATCCATCATTTCTGTAGCTTCCAAGCCCCCACCTCTCTGCTCTCCTCCCAGACGTGGCGCGCCTCTGGGACCGGGCTCCCAGGAGAGCTGACGCCGCTGGGGCTGATCAGTCCAGCTCTCAGTGCCCGAGACGTGCCAGGCCTTTCCAGGGAGCCGCCGTCCGTCCGCGCCCGAGGCACGGGCACAGGTCAGATTCCCGGGAACATTGCCCAGACCCGGCACTCGCCCTGGGTCTCAGCTGATGTTTATAGTAATTGTGTGCACCATGCAATTTCGGAGGAAAGAACCGCTGTGACAGGCATTAGCTCTAAAATAAATTTCTATTTTTTTCTCTTGCAAAATCAATAAGAGATGTTATTAAGAACACGTTGGCACGCTGGGCTTGGGGTCGGAGGTGGCCCATGCTGCCTCCAGGAGCTGAGCCAGAGTCCACGGAAGGCTGGCCCGTGGCGCGGGCATGTCCCTCTGAGCGTCCTTTCCCCGCCTGCGAGCGGGGGTCCTGGGCCTGGCGCTGGGTGAGGAAAGCCCATGCGTGTGTGGTGATAGGAGCCCATGCGTGTGGAGCAGTATTCCGTGCTGGCTCTAACCGTCTACCTCATGGAGCAGCACCCTGGCGGGCACTGCCGGGCCCTCCTTTTATAGACGAACCTGAAGTGCAGAGGCACAGCCTTGAGGCAACTAGTCCCGGCCCAAATCCCGAGACAGCCAGGGGAGAGCGAGGCGGCGGTGAAGCCTGGCCTTTGGCGGTGGAGCCTGGCCTCTGGCGTGGAGTCACCCTCAGCGCGGGTGCTGGGAGCCCACACCAGAGCTGATTCTCGGCCTCTCACTTGGGGCCCCACTCCCCTGCCTGTGGCAGCTCTTGGCATTGGATAGCGCAGCGCTTGAGTGGGAAGAAGGCTCCGGTGAGGGTGGGCGTCTGCACTGCGGCATGGGTGCCAGCAATTGCCTGGCGAGGGTAAGAGGCCCTCAGGAAGCCCACCTCGCTCCCAGTGCCAGGGTGAGGGGAGTCCCTCTGTCCGTCCCACCCCATGGACAGACGATGGCAGGGGCTCTGCAGCCGCTCCTGCCCTTTGGCCCTCTGAGCTCCTAGGGCGATAGCGGGGCCTGCTCTGCCCAGACCTGGCGTGGGAGAGCCCCCCTCCTCCCTCCGGGGCTGTGTATGTGGGAGACCCTCCCTGTGGGGAGGGAGGCGAGTGAGGCGCCCACTTCTCAGCCACAGTAAGTCTCGCAGCAGTGCCTTGGCCGGGCCGTCAGGGAGCAGAGCTGGCTGGGAGGCCTGGTCCGCAGGGCAGCGCACACGAATGGCCCAGCAACGCCGGGCCTTCGAGGTTTTTGAGAGAAGCCAGAAACTCGGGTGTTTTATTTCTTTTTAGTGTGAAATCTGACTTTTAAATGTCGGCTTAACTTAACCCAGCAAACCAACACCGAGTGCCCCACAAACTGGTGGCAAGTCCCGTGCAGCACCCGCCACCCAGCTCCCACCTGCCCTCGTCCCCGGCCCCGGAGGCCGCAGCGCCCGCCTGGGGCTCACCCTCCTCGGCTCTCCAGGGGGTGAGAGGAGGAAGATCACTCCTGGACCCTCGCCCTGCCCCCCAGCCCCGAGAGGCGGGGTCAGTGGGTGACCTGCACGTGCTCGAGGTGGCAGGCCCACCTTCGCCCTGGTGGGAGGCCGAGCTCCCCCTCCGCACCTGCATCCCGCCCCAGCCATAAGCACCGTGTAAATTAGCCCAAAGCTGCAGCCGCCGGGCCTGGGTGCCAGCGAGCCCAGCGTGGATTCCTGGGGATGAACCAGCCACAGCGGACAAGAGGTCAAGGAAGAGCAGGTGTGGGTTCCCAGAGGACCCTCTCCCAGGCTCTGTCCCCTTGGGGGCCTGCTTTCTCTGTCCAGCAGTGTGAAGGGCCTGCTTCTGTCTGTCTGTCCAGCTCCAGACGGTTTCTGCACTGGCTCCCCGAGCTCAGAGGAGCAGAGCCTGCCAAGCCGTTTCTGCAGCCCGACAGATGGCAGCTGCCCACACCCCTCCCCAGGCCTCACCTCCATCCCTCCTGGGGCCAGGATGGTCCCTTTCTGAGGCTGCGCCCCATCCAGCCTCTGAAGAAGGGCAGGCCACAGTCTGGTGGCTCCGCCTTCGCAGGCCGGGCTGGTCTGTGCGGTCCACCCCCCCCCCCCCCCCCCGTCACACACACACACCCCGCCGAGGTCTCTGGAGAAACTGGAGGGTCTGGCAGCTCGAGTCCCACATCCCTGAGCCCAGACCACTGCAGTCCCCACCAGCCCCGACTTCTCACACTGGCCTGCTTCCCTCGCTGGCCCTGCCTTCACAGCCCACATGCACCTGAGCCTGCACCCCTGAGACCGAGGCAGGTGATGAATGGAGGAGCAGGAGGGGGTGAAGTGACACTGTGGGGCCCAGAGTAGGTAGGACTGTGCCCCTGGGAGTCAGGCCCCGGGCATGCAGAGGGCTCTCCCGGGCCCTGGGACCCAAGCCCGGCATCGAGTCAGGCCACAGGCCCAGGTGGGGTCTGGAGGAGGCAGGTGGGGCCTGTGCCCAATGGGCCACGTGTCCCCGTGAGCCTGGGGCTGTCTGCATGGCCAGACACGTGTGGCATTGATGACACCACTCCCAGGCTCCCAGCCCCTGCGGAAGGGACCGCCTATGGAGCCATATTTGTGATCATAACAACACAACGAATGAAGCCACCAAACACTGAGCCCTTCCCGGGTGGGTGCTCTGTGGGCGGCGTCACTGAAAGTGCACATCGTGCTGAACGGGGCCTCATTCGGAGGCGCCCTCCCTTTTTCGCCACCCCCCGTCCTGGCCAGGCCTCTGGCCGCCAGCCTCCCCCAAGGCCAGGCTCGGACAGTGTCAGTCCAGGATGAAATGTGGCCCGGGAGGCACCTGCCAGGGTAGCAGGGGCGGGGCGTGGGGGAGGGCAGAGGTCGGCTTGTGCTTTCCTGTCTGTCCACGCAGGATATCCCACGCGAGGATTGGTTTTCCTCCGACTGATGCTCCCGCGGCTGCTTGTCCTCAGACCCAGGCCGTCCGTCCACGGGAGCAGCCCTGCGGTTTGCTCTCGCCACAGCCAGGGCGAAGGGGCAATG